GGTTTTCACATAAAGCTAGCATGGAGATTTGTGCTTGCTTAACTCGAATTTTAATAATGTATTAAATATTCACATTATTTTTTATGTCATTTCTTTACATAATATTAGCAATTTTTTTATCATTTATTTATCAAATATTCACATTAAAATAATAATGCAATTACAATAAATAATCAAATATTTTAAGAAACTGAATACATTCCCACCAATAATGTTTAAGATTCCGCACAAATACCATCTTCATAACCATTTTATCATTTGGCAACTGTGAAATTATTCTATGTGGAGATCGGATGCATAACGTTATCTAGAGATCAATTAGAATACGTCACATCAGTGATGCGGAGTTGCGGTACTGAGCTGTGGCCGAACAAAGGAATATTTTGACAAATTTGATAAAGGTCAATGTGCTTTGATCCTAACTAATCATCCATAATTAAAAAAAAAAGACTATTTTTTAATTAACCTTGAACGTCCATGGAAGTCGAGTAGTCGACCTCCCCTCTTTTTTTTTTTGGGAAAATTGGGGCTAAGCCCGTATATTAAAATTGAGAGAAGGTTACAATGTAAAGCTCAAAAATTGTAAAACCCAAAAATTACAAGCAATCCACAGATAAAAAACAAAACCCCACCCACAAATACTAAGCAAAAAGATGGATAACCAAATGGGCTCAGACATAAGGGAACCGGAACAAAACAGTTGGAATCAGCATGAAGGCAGCGAAATCAGAACCCCCAAAAACATATCTGAAGGGACCAGCCCCGGTTGCCAGAGAACCCAGAGCTGACGGAGGGCAGGTTGCACGAAGTGCCATTCGCAATGCCAAAGAAGGGACAAAAAGGCTCCGGCCATCCAGGGGCAAAGGGGGCATGAACCGGACCCGATCATCATTGCCCAGGAAATCCATCAGTAATAGAGTGGTGCTGCAGCAGGAAGCAATGTGGAAATTTGATATTCAGTCTTTCAAAAGATTTCCAACACTTCGTCTTAGCCTTGATAGCTTGTGAAATCTTAAAACAAATGTAGTTCATGTCCTCAGAAGTCCCCTCAAAACATCTAACATTTCTTTCTCTCCAAAGAAAATAAACAGAGCAACAAATAACCAAGAAACAGAAATTCTTATCTTGCCTATCTAAGTGTTGCATATCATCAAAAAATTCAAAACTTTGAAGTAATGAAGGCCTAAAAAGGAAACAGCCGAGAGAGGGGAGAAGAGCAGAAATAACCCCAAAAGAAAATTCACAAGTAAAAAACATGTGCAATATGGATTCGTCTTCCTTGCCACAGAGATGGCATGTACTACCGGTAATAATGTTACGACTTCTCAGAATGTCAGCAGTTTTTAAACCATCACAAACCGCAAGCCAGCCATACGAAGAGTATCTCAAAGCAAACCTCTTATGCCAAATGAAAGAGGCCCAGCTAACCTTTTCAAACTCCACAAAAAATAACTTCCTGAAGGTTTTGAAGGAAGGTTTACCACTACCGACCCATTCCACACAGCCATTACTTTGCTGAAGAATAGGAATGGAATTAATGTAATGAGAAATACCCGAAAGCATTGAACCAGAAAGCTGCCAATATCCCTCATACACAAAATTCTGAACAGCAATGAACTTAGAATTAGAAATATGTAAAAGCTCAGACACGGTAGAACCATTAATCCAGGGGTCCCAAATAGCATCCAGAGAACAGTTTTCCCTAGTGACAACAAATTTTAAGAATGGTTTTAGTTTGGTAGCAGTAGAACATGTAAAACTCCAATACTTAGAAGCTTTAGGAGAGGGTGGCTTAAATGGGGATAAATACTTCTGTCTAAGCCAATCCACAGTAAGAGAATTTTGAGAGAAAAATCTCCAGATGAAAGAGCAACTAAAACCAAAAGAAAGTGATTGAATGCTCGGTATCCCAAGCCCCCCAAGCTCAGTAGGGAGACAAGTTTTCTTCCAGGAAATTAAATGTAGTTTCTTTTCAATGGAGGAACCATGGAAAAGAAACCTAGAACAAAGTCTGTCAATAATTTTACAGCAACTCTTAGATAAAATAGCTCCTCTAATCCAATAGGCGATAATGTTAGCGATGGTGAACTTCAAATATTGAATTCTACCTGCAAAAGACAAGAATTTAACTTTCCAACCAGCAAGTAGAGTAGAAAGTTTACTCAGGAGTGGTTGGAAGTGAGTAGCAGTAAGATTTTTGATAGAAATAGGGAGCCCCAAATAACTGAAGGATTGGTCAGCTAAGGAGAACCCAAGCAGAGTAGAAATATCCATGGCATTAATGGTATTAGTGGAGAAGAGGACCGAACTTTTTGAGTCATTGATGCAGAGACCCGAAGAAGCAGCAAAACTATTAAGAGCATCTTTAAGTGTCTTGGCATTAAGTAATGAGGCCTCTCCAAACACCAGCACATCATCTGCATAGAGCAGATGATTAAAGTCCATATTGCCACAAGAAATACCTTTGAATTCTCCCTCGTCCAACATGCAAGAGAAAGCATCCATCACCACAGTGAAAAGAAGAGGAGAAAGCGAACACCCTTGACGAAGACCAGAAGAGGATTTAAAGAAACCCTCCAAAGACCCATTGATATTAACAGAAAAGGGAGTATCCAAAATACAACCTTTGATCCAATTGATAAATTGCTCAGGAAACCCCTTCAAAAAAAGCCTTTGAATAAGAAAATCCCTGGAAACCGTGTCAAAGGCTTTCTTAATGTCTAATTTAGCACAAAAAATTTTTTTGGCTTTAACAGCATTAAAGGTCCTCAAAATATCCGCCGCCAGCACAATATTATCAGAAGCAATTCTATTGGAAATGAAGCCAGACTGACTCTTATGAATAATGAAGGGAAACACTTCTTTGAGCCTATTAGCCAAAATCTTTGCAATGATTTTATAAAGAACATTGCAAAGAGAAATAGGACGGTAATCAGAAATATTTGAGGCATGAGAATGCTTGGGAATCAACGCAATAGCCGTGGCTTTAGCAGCAGGAGGAAGGGTACCCATAGAAAAAAAATGCTTAACAGCATTGCAAACATACAACCCAATAACCTCCCAGGACTTCTTGTAGAAAGAGAAGGTGAATCCATCAGGTCCAGGCGAGGAAGCATTAGGCCCAGAAAAAACAACAGTTTTGATCTCCTCATTGGTGACCGAAGCAATGAGAGGTAAGATCAAATGAGGAGGGATAGTAGCACCTGCAGGTAAATTAGAGAGATACGGGCAACAAGGTGTAGGGGTATTATATAAATTCTTAAAGTAAGAAATCGCAGCAATTGCAATTTCCTTGTGAGTAGAGAAAGTGCCATCAGTAGTAGTGAGCTCAGAAATCCTGTTATGATTTCCTCTAGACTTAATGCGAGCATACAAAAACCCCAGATCATCTTCCCCATTAGAAAGCCATCTGGCTTTGGCCCTCTGAATAATCCAAGAAGACCAGGCAGAATTCAAATTGTGAAGTTCCCCGTTAATATCTTTAAGTTGAGCATTTAAAAAAGGATCAAGGGGATTAGCGTTGATATGGCTTAACAGATGGGATTGCCTTTGTTCCACAGCAGAAATTTTACATTTAATAAAAGAGGAATCAGCCCACTCTTTTTTCTTTAAGGAAGATTTCAAAAGTCTCAATTTCCCATACAGGTTACAAATAGGGCTACCACCAAAGTGCACAGAAAAAGCAGCAATAAGCTCCGACCAATACCCCTCCATATTAGTCCAATAATCCTTAAATTGAAACCTTCCAGAAATGGAATAAGCAGAGCCAGAATTAAGTAAAATAGGGGAGTGATCCGAGGTACCAGGGGGCTCAACCTTGTAAAAGGATTTAGGATAAAGATCAAGCCACTGTTGATTTACCATCATCCTATCTAATTTAACATGAACAGGATCACTTGCTCTTTGGTTAAACCATGTGTAGTGAAGTCCAGTAGAGGCCAGGTCAAAAGTACCCGAGGAAGAGTACCAGTTGTTAAGTTCCCCGAGTTGACTAAAATGAGGAGGGGCACCCCCCATCTTATCATTAGCATCTTTGAAACAATTGAAGTCCCCCATAATGATCCAAGGGGAGTTAATATTGGCGGCAATGGACTCCAAATCAGACCAAAGAGATTTCCTTTCTTCCAGGGAATTAGCCGCATAAACCACAGAGATCCAAAATTTCTCAGAATCACCAGTTTGAATAACACCATGAATTAATTGAGACGAGCGAAAAGAGGGAGTAAAGGTGATTACATCAGAATTCCACTTTAACCAAATTCGACCCGGATTTGAAAAATTAAAGTTGTCATAACTTTCCTCATTAGAAAAAACCATATGAGTATGAAAAAACCACTGATCATTCAGATGGGTAGACGAAATCTTCGCTTCCAGGATACAGAGGAAGTCGATATGATGAGCAGCAATAAGACGTTTACAGGTTAGAACTCTATCCGAGCTAGTAAAACCCCGGACGTTCCAACAACAGATCTTAGGTAAGGTCATTTTGACTTGGAGGATTGCGGTTTTTTAGAGTTTTTGGCTCTAGTAGATTTAGAGGAATTGGCTTTATGGTTGATGGACTTGACAGAAGGTTCCTTCAATTTAGACCCAACAGTATTAGAGGAGGATTTGGGGGAATCTTGCAAATCACCATCAGGAGGCTCTGGTGGCTCAAGAATAGCGAACTTGTTGGGTGAAAGGGTGGTATGGGGCTGATGAAGATTCCAAGTGGTGGGGGTGATAACAGACTCAAAATTCTGTGGAACAGGCACCACAGCCGAATTTTGAGAAGCGGCAGTCGGAGGTAGATCTGAGGAAGGAGAGGGCTCAGAAAGGGGAGGGAGGGGGGGCTCAGAAGAGGAGACGTCTTCCGTAGGTGAGTTGAGGTTCGGGATATGAGATAGAGCTATAGGAGGAGCGACAGAGGGTTGTGAAGTGAAAGTAGTGGTCGGTAACGGGTTGTGAGCTCCCCTCTTTCATGATCTCTTTTCTCCAATATATTACTAATTCGACAACACCGATGGCTTTCTCCATGAGATCCTAGCGGCCCTCATCGCTGTTTAATTTTCTATGTTTTAAAATTGAGCGATTGATGCCGCACGCTCGAAATCGGCAGCAGGGGCCCTCCATCTTCCATCCCTTCCGCGAAAGCTGCCATCTTTGACCTGAAATCCCAGTCCCAAAAAAATTGCAGCTTTGGCCAATGACTCCGGAGATCCAAGTTCAGTCCTCCCCAATCTCCACCCGTTCCGCTGCCACCATGCCGGAAACCCTCCACGAAACATCCCTCCCAAAACAGAGCACCAATATCAAGAAGCACCAAAAAGCTTCGAACAAACTCGGTCTTCTCCCCCTCGTCTTCCTCATCTACTTTGAAGTTTCTGGTGGCCCTTTTGGCTCAGAACAAACAGTCCAGGCCGGCGGCCCCCTCCTCGCCATCCTAGGCTTCGTTCTCTTCCCCTTCGTTTGGAGCATTCCGGAAGCCCTAATCACCGCAGAACTCGCCACCGCCCTCCCCGGGAACGGCGGCTTCGTCCTCTGGGCCGATCGAGCCTTTGGCTCTTTCTCCGGCTCTCTTATGGGCTCATGGAAATTCCTCTCCGGCGCCATCAACTCCGCAGCCTACCCCGCTCTCTGCGCCGACTACGTCGCCCGTGCTATCCCTTCTATCTCGTCCGGCGCGCCTCGCGTTGCCACGGTTACGGCCACAACCGTTCTCCTCTCATTTCTTAATTATACGGGACTATCTGTTGTTGGGTATACAGCCATGGCGCTTTGTGCTGCTTCGCTTTTCCCCTTTTTCGTGCTGGCGGCGACGGCGTTGCCAAAGCTTAGACTGCGGCGATGGGGCAAAATTGCAAAAGATAGGGATTGGAGGCTATTTTTTAACACGCTCTTTTGGAATCTGAATTTTTGGGATAATGCGAGCACGCTGGCTGGTGAGATTGATAACCCGCAGAGGACTTTTCCGAGGGCGCTTTTGGCTGCTGGGTTGCTCACTTCAGTGGCTTATCTGATGCCGCTGCTCGCCGGAACTGGGGCGCTTGATGTGCCATACTCGGAATGGGACAGTGGTTTCTACGCCGACGTTGCAGGTATGTTCAGTTGCCCTGGTTGGCGTAACTCCGGCGAGGTGAGGTGGCAGTCGTTGACTTGTCATCGGGCCACCAATGACTTCGTTGTTTCATTGATAAGTTCTTTGATCCTATATGTGATCGTGGCTCGTTTTAGGCTGCGGTAGAGTTTCAGGAAAATTGTTTATTTGGTGATATTTGTTGCTTTTGGACTATACTAAATGGACAGCTTGATTTGATTGAAACTAGACATACGTTTAGGATTCTTTCCCGTCAGTTTAGCCAATGTAGCTTTTTTAAGAGTTTTTGGAGCAGTGCTCTTTTAGACTTTTACTCACCCAAAATTTTAGAGTAAGACAAAGATCAATTATTTATTTCTTTATTAGTAAATATTTAACTTTTATAAGGCACTTTTCCTATGGTTGAGTAGTAGTCAACTGAAAAAGATAGATTTAGTAATATTAGTTTGTAAGCATTAGAATAGGAGAAATTATTAGGTTCGGATACCGTACAAACAGAATCATCTGGATTTCTCTTTGTAGTAATTGCGCTTTTACTGTAGACAGAGAAAAATCCGGATGATAATCTTTATCCGGTGTCCGAACCTAATAATTTGCCCTAGAATAGGGATGTGACTGAGATAAGGTAACATAATTGACTTGCAAATTAGGGGCTGTTTAGTAGCACCAATGATTTTATTTTAGTAGGATTTCGTAAATCCTCTAAATCCGGGGTTAAATCCTTAAATCATGATAAATCCTGTTAAATTATGTGTGACTGTTTGGCTATAGATAGTTAAATCATGAAACGAGCGGACTCTTCTTTCCTCTCGCGCCAACATTCCGTTAAATCCGCCGAATCAGAGGATTTCAGAAATCTGGGATTTATCGCGAAAAGAGGATTTTTTCGTCTACGGCAGCTTTCATTTACCGTGAGATTTGGTTTTGTGCTGTTTGGCTGGATTTCGCTCAAATCCGCCTCAAATCTGGCCTAAATCCTGCTAGCAAACAACCCCTTAAAGTTAATAGATTAGTATGCAGTTGGAAAGAAATGGAGGAGGATTTATAAAGCGATCTCCTTTAGTTTAGGTGAGGATAGTGATGATGCTAGCCATATATTGATTATAATTGGATTGATGTTAATTGGATAATGAAAGAACTTAATTGGAATAAGGGTACTGATGATGATCTATGTTGCACGGATACGCCTATTTATGAGGCATGCTGTATCGGATACGGATACGCCTCCGATACGGCACGGATACGTGTCGGATACGGCTTTGCCGTGTCCAATTAAAATAGTATTTAAATTTAATCGGACACGCGTATCCGATACACGTGTCCTATTTAAAAAAAATACTCGGTACCGCTTGGTATTGCTCGGTACCGTTTGGTTCTCGGTACTGCTCGGTACCGTTCGGTACTCGGTACTGCTCGGTACCGCTCAGTACTCGATACCGCTCGGTACTCGGTACTTCTCAGTACTGCTCGGTATCGGAACTCGGTACTGCTTGGTACTGCTCAGTACAGAGGGGTACTGAATGGTACCAAGCAGTACCAAGAAGGTAGAGAAAACTTTAAAGCAACTCTTATAATAAAATTTTATTCTGGGGACCCCGCGACTTGACCGGGTAGGTCGAACCCCGCCAGGGGCTAGCGCCCCCTTGGACCCTCGGCATAGGCGCAACATATCTACACTTTTAATTAAAAATTTTCATGTTTCAAATTCATGTTGATTAATTGTGTCGATCCTTCGTAGGATAATGAATAGTTAAAATTTCATGTGCCGGACAATTTATCTTCTTTTTTTTAATTGTTGTGCTAGACATTTAAATATTTAATGCTTACTTTTGTTTCATTTTTTTTTTGTCATTTCAAATATTACACTTTGATTAATTTCTTAAATTTTATGTATTATTTATATATTATAATGCCGTAGCCGCGCCATATCCGTATCCTGTATTTTTAAGAATTGGCGTGTCCCGTATCCATATAGTGTCGTATCCGTATTGCCGTATCCGTATCGGTGCAACATAGATGATGATACAAGGGAAACTAAGGGCTTGAAAGAACTATTATTTTGCATTGTCTTTTGTTGGGGTGATTGTAATAATGATGATATGATGATGATGATGATGATATATTGATAATAATTTTTTCATGAGATAACTTCTACCATCTATTGCTTTTGCCTTCTCACCTAGTCAAGGCAGCCAAAACATTTATTTAAGAATATGTCAAGTTGCTTCAAAGAAACAAATTTAGTGATTGACCACCCAAATCTTTTTTTACAATTTCTGAAGCTTCTATCTTCGGTTCTTAATATCCAATCACTATTTCCATGCAGGTATGATTACTGGACACTGGCTCAAATACTGGGTAGAGGTTGGTGCAGTGTTATCAGCCATTGGTTTATATGAGGCTCAGCTCAGTAGCTCTGCGTTCCAGCTCCTTGGTATGGCTGACCTTGGCTTCCTCCCAAAATTTTTCTCCCTTCGGTCGAAATGGTTCAGTACTCCCTGGGTTGGCATTCTTACTTCAAGCTTCATCTCCCTTGGCATCTCCTTCCTTTCCTTGGAAGACATCATCTCCTCTGCTAACTTCCTCTACAGCCTTGGCATGCTTCTTGAGATTGCCTCATTCCTTTGGCTGAGAAGGAAGGAGCCCAGACTAAAGAGGCCATTTCATGTGCCATTGCGAATGCCAGGGCTCATTTTCATGTGCTTGGTTCCCTCAGGATTCCTCATTTATGTGATGGCACTTGCAAGCTGGAAGGTGTTTGTGATCAGTGGTGGCTTGACGTTGTTTGGTTCTGCGTTGTACTTCTTCATGGAACTTTGCAAGTCCAGGGGATTTTTGAAGTTTTCCACCCAAGGGGAGAAGGTTGGTGAAGTGGAAGAGGAAGAAGGGAAGTCGAATGAGGCATGAAAGTACTTCAGAAGGAAAAGATTTCCCTCTTTGTATGTCTGAAGAAGCATTGATTGATCAATTTGATTCCTACTGCTTGTACTTTTAATTGAAGAATAAAGCAATCTGATTCAGCTTTTGCTAAAGTGGAGATGATTTTATTACTACCGCTTGCACAGGTAAAAAAAGAATCTAGTGGCTTTGGTATTCCAAACTATTGTTTGTTTTTAATTATTTAAAAAATTGAATAATGATATACTATAATCTTAAGATGCATAGTTGATCTATTACTATTTGGGAAATAATATATTAGCCAAAATGTAAGATTTGGTGTTTGCTGGCTATTCAATATGTTGATTATCACATGTAATTAGTTTGTATCTTTGTTTTTAATTATGTGGATAGTTTGTTCCCCGTTTCAACTGTTATTTTTATATATTTCACTTTTTTGCAAACTTTTTGAACATGGCCTATTTGGTTCTAGCACAACTGTCTTGATAATTATTAGGCCGGCCCCTCCTGGGCTGGTTGAACCGGTCCCTAGTGGACCGGTTTTTACCTATAGCAGGCAGCCCAAGGTGGGCGGAATCAAGGAAGAAGAGAGAGGGAGGGGATGGATGCTCCTAGAGGGCCCACATGCTAATTAAATTTGCTTGAAGGGAATTTTTGAATTAGGGGTCTATTTAGGAAATTTGTAATTGTCCTTTGTCTTTAATTAGTTTCTTTTGGAAAAGGGTTGGGGTTTATGCTTGATTTGGATTTCTCTTGAAGTTCCTTGGTGCCTTGGGCTCTAGACTACCTTGAGATTTCCGTCGGCATCGAACACAAGTCCCCATTCAAGTTCGGGATCCGTCATGCATTCTTGAAGTGGTGGGGGAAGGGTGTCGTCGTCTTCTCTTGACGTCAAGTGTCATGAGCATCCAAAATTCCCAAGGGAGGGAGTATGGAGAGGGGAGGCTTAGGTAGAGAGAGAGGGGGCGGGTGACTTGGGTGAGGGGGATTAGGTTAGGGGGAGATTGAAAGAGATTTACTCAAATCTGAAATTAACTTCGGAATTTGAGTAAATTAGGAGGGAATTAATTTGAAATTGATTTCAAATTTCAAATAGATATGAGGGGAATTAATGGGCATTCAATGGGGCCCATCAAGAGGGGGGTCGGCGGGTACTAGAGAGAGAGGAGGGAGTTATTTTAAAAACCTGAAATTAATTTCAGATTTTGAGAGAAATAGGGGGGAAAATTCATTTGAAATTGATTTCCAATTAACGTGTCATCAATGCATTAATTGGTGGCATGAATGGGGCTCCATCCATGGTGAGGCCGGCGGCTTCTAGAGGGGGGGAATTGGTGTGGGAGCAATTGATTAGTTTCCAAATCGGCACATAAGGTTTAGGAAAGATTATGATGAAATCCGTTTGAATTTTAATTTCATCATGATGTGGATTTAAATACTTTCTAAATTAGGAATTTCCAAAATTGGAAAGTTTTGAAATTCAAATTTTGAATTTTCAAAATTTGAACAAGTGGGGGATGGGGGAGGAGGCCGGCGGTTGAGTGGCTTGGTGACGGGTAGTGGAGGTGGGGTGGCCGGCGGTCAAGAGGGGGGCTAGGGCCGGTGGGTTGGGGGTCCAGCCGGTCCAGGCGGGATCGGTTCACGGGCAAAATCGCAAAACAGGCGGAGATTTCGCCAGAACGAGCGGCCCGACCGCTCATATAGAGCGTTTTAGGAAGGATTTTTGGGGGGTTTCAGAGAGAAATTTGAATGTAGGGACTGTTTAGGGAATTCCTTTTGATTTGTATGCATTAAATAGATGTTTTTCCTAGGGTTTGAGCATCTTGAATTTGACTGAAATTTGAGATCTCTTGGATTTAGGTTTTCTTTGGGCTCTAGCAGCGTCTAGAGATTTGGGAGAGATCGATCCTCCTCTCGAATTGAGGATCAATTGTATCTTTGCTGTTTTATTCATCTACTAGTGAAATACAAGAGTTTTTCTTCGTTTTTTCTCAGATTTCTCGTGTAAAACTCCTGTTTTTCTCTGTTTTTGGGCTGTTTCCTACTGTGGACAGCAATAAATCTGCTGCAGTTTACTGATTTTGGCTAGGAACACTTGTGAATCCAAGTGTTTCCTATCATAGAGGCAGTGCGGGCATCTCATTTTAAACGGGTTGGCGGGTTGACCCGGCAACCCGTCAGGTCAACCCGAACCCGGCCCGTTTTTCAAACGGGTCGAATTCTGGAACACAAACCCGACCTGTTTTGAAATCGGGTCGGGTTTTGATGTAGTGCAAAATATTGACACTCCTATTCACAGGATTGCTGGTATTCCAGCAACCTGTAGTGAATTCAATGGAAAGACAAGCTGGATTATTGTTGGACACGGAGTAAACTAATAAAAAATATGAAAAAATAAAGACAATAGAGAACCTAATAAAAGATTCCATCAACCAAATGTGTCCTCCTCGTGAACCTTTTTAGAAATTTTAGAGCTTTGATCTGTTGCATTGGTAAACTAGCTGGATGGATCTTCACAACTTCTCACTTTACATGAAACAGTAATTCTTGGCCTCACTCATAAAACCGTGGCTACAACACCAACTACAATGTTCCTGATTGAATTCAGCCTTGCTACTGCTGTAAAGCCTGTGAAACTCTTGGGCAGGCCCCCATAGCGATTACCTGCATGGTTGCTGGCTAGTTTGAATTCAGCCTTGCTGCTGCCGTCAGAAGACTTCTTGTCACTGCCCCACCTTTGATAGCTGCAGAAGATGATTTCCAGAGTGTCAACGCGGACTGGGGCGGAGTCTTAAACTCACTCGTGATGTCATGATTGTTCGACAAGTTTTACACTGATTGTCGACTACTTAACACGACCCTCCACTTTTCTTATACAGACTTTGAGATTTGACAAAGATAGGTTTGCTAAGGTTAATGAGTGCCCATAAAGTTTAATAATATAATTTTTTAGTTTTTCATAGGATTTTTTTTTTTAACTTAAGTCTTTTATATGAGATAATTATAAAATGATATATATTCATATTGGCGTGTCACCAAAAAATTCTTTAGATCAAGCATGAATCACTATTCTCACACATCTCAAAACACCTAGAATCAAAAGTTTTCAAAATCAAATTTGGGATTATTAAAGCATTATTTTTAGCAAATTCATAGTCATAATGAACATTTTAATAAGATGAATCTAATGATATAAAAAATTTCTTGATCTAAGTCTATATGAGCTTGAATAAGGCACTGCACCATGATATCATTTGAGAGATCAAATGTTCTTAGAAACTTCTGTGCTTATATTCAAAATAAGCATCTCAATGAGATAAATTTGATGAGTCCATGATCGCTCAATTTAGTTATCATTAAAGCATTATGATGCTTAAAGGATATTGTATTATCAAATTGATCAATTGTATTATCAAATTGATCAAGATTGTTCGTCTAATGGATCTCTCATCATAAATCTATAATAGATCATGCGCTCATTTGTAGAGGTTGGGATGAGGCTACAAGAAGTATTCTAGAAGAGGGAGTTTAGAGCTCTGCCTGCAAGCACCTAATATTTGTTGTCACCAATAAAGTTTATGCCTTCTATCAATAGTAATGCTTGTGCTTGCTAAAGAAACTAACGTCGATGACCTCCATTGTCATTTAAAGTTGATGCCCTCAATCACTATTACAGCCCATGCCTATCATCTACATCAAGGTTGATGTCAATCGCCATCAATTTGGTCGATGCACGCAATCGATGTTAATATCGATGTCCTATCCCCACAGAAATAAACACTCATTATCTCCACCAAGATCAATGCTTTCCATCACTCGTCATTGCCAACAACTCATACCCCTATCATTGACATCAACACTAACACCGCCGTATCTAACAAGCCTGATACTTGCCTTCTTTGTCACTAATTTTCCCTTTTATAAGGTGAATGACCAAGCATACATTCTACAATCACTTGATGGCATTTCCAACATTTTAAGGTCCATTTTACTTTCACCATAAAGCCATTATTTTTTCAATTCATATCTATTACATTGTATCAAAATCTTCTCAGAATCATTTCAATAAGCCAATGATTTTTTTTTTGTTCCTAAATTTTTCTCATCAAAACCTCAATATCTCTTACTAGCTGCTTTTAAATTATATGTGCATGATTTTCGTACAATATATTCTAGTACATCATGCATGGCTCATAAGACCAACAATTGCATTGTGAAGAAAACCCTTTCATGATTGAAAGAAAGGTGAAAATATCAATCTGATATTATTTTTTAAGAAATTGCTTGATCTAGTGATTGAACTGTCGAACCAGATATAATTTTTAAGAACCAGATAATTAATAAAAATAAAAAAAATGAATCAACAAAACCATGCAACCTTAGCCATCTATGGCTCTGTATAACTACTTGTTTCGTTTATATTGCTACAACTTGTTCTACGCCTTCACTATTCAGTACATCTCGTTTAGTCTAGAATCTTAAATATGATTATCAGATTTCATGAGTAAAGAATGAAAGACCAGTGGTGAGGATAAACCAGGTTGAGATCTTGCAGAACTGAAACACCATTAGCAGACAAGTTTTCCTAAAAAATATGATCATTTTCATCCTTTTTTGACGTCCAGTGACCCAATTGTAGTGAAGAAGAAGAGAGGTAACACTCACAAGCGAATTAAAAAAAAAAAAAAGGGTTGAGATCAAGCATGGGGGACATAATTAGACACTTTTCTGTTTCTATCTGTCTTGTGTATGTTATCTACAGTATAACTAAAGAAAAAAGGGCCAGTAGTGAAAGATAAAGCAGCTTCAGAGTTTGCAGCTCTGAAACACCATTGTCGCCGGTCGGTTGGAAGGTGCCAGGAGGCACGAAGCTGGAGCCACCGGGAGGCGGGAAGCTCGAGCCAGGACTTCCTGAACCACCAGTGGAGTTAGATCCTCCGCCACTCCCAGAGCTATGAACAGAAAAGATATAACATCAATAAGAGATCAAGTAATGTGCATGAAAGAGAGCAGTATGGTATGGTTCTCTTATTGCTCACCTTCCTGGGAATATGCAAGAGCCGCTGCCTGCAGGGAAAACCAAGAAAGAAGAAAAAATGTTTATATCATAATTTGTCTTTCTTAGTGGATTTGGTACAGGAATGAAATCCACCAACCATTCCACATTAATAACAAGGTTGTTAAAAAAACAAATATCTATGCAAACATAAATAGAAGTGTCAAAATGTCGCCTGATAAAAAATTTGCATTAACATTCAATACCATGAGAAATGACAAAACAATCAGAACTGAAATTGTAATCATAAAATCTAGATTGCATGAGTTTTGATTAATTCACTCATTCAAGCAGATCAATACCTAAAATAATAGAATAAAAACAAGAAAAATAAGAGATCCCCAAATAAAGCATTCAAACCTCATGTCGGATACAAAGAGATGGCTTCCCCAATTTGAAAGTTAAATGTAATTAGATCCAAGTAGAAATTCTTTTAATTAAATTTAAGACTTCAAATTATAACTCTTGTTCATGTATATATAGTTCCAGAGGTATATATTCAAAGTTAGCAAAATAGATGTAGATTATATTTTCTATCTAAGACATCCTCAAAAGAATATTCACAGTTACAATCACTTTAATAAAATCAGATTTGACTATGCTTCATTCTTTTGTTGGTATGGGCTTGTTCGTATAGACTTCATTAGGGACAACTTTAGACCATTGCTTTTTCTCAGCTTTCAAGATATTTTTATATTAAAAAGCAGCTTTACAAAGTAATACAAAAGCTGTCCCAAACATAGTCATTGTTTTTAGATAAGATGCTAAAAAATTTTCTTTATAAATAGTAACCAATGGTACAGTAGTCTTAATAGAAGAGACCGTTGTAATATTCCTCAATATGCAAACAACTATCTTGCAAATAAGGAACCATAGATCAACAACAAATGCTAATATGCTTGAACAAGAAATTTCACATTTTGTTTTGTCTTAAATGCAAATGACTGCAGCAAAAGATAGAATAGCATCACTCTAAAAGAAGAAAAATTATTACGTGTAGTGTTCGGATACTTTCGGAGGCAAATCCGAATGCGTCACGTCAGCCAAGGCACAATGCATTAGCTGACGTGGCACTTCCGGATTGGCCTCCGGATGCGTTCAGACACCATACAGAATAATCTCCCCTAAAAGAAACTCTTTGAATCAATATTTGTTTCAGTATGTCGGAATCTTGAAAGACCATGATAGAAAAGTATCTAGCATTTATATATATCACGGTTAAAAATACAGTAGCAAGAAAGGACTTACTCGGGTCACTGTTAGTAAGCATAGCTGTATTATTGAAGAAGCAGGTTCCGCCTGTTGCTTGATTTGCTTGGTAATAGGCATCGTAGGCATATGAAGCAATAGCTACAAGATTGTTAGCTATATAACAAGCTTGACCTGGCTGTATAGGACCGCAATTCGCTAAACCAGGTCCGCAAGCCCAGTCAATACCTGCCTTTAGTGCAGTAGGGTCTGCATTCTGTCTTGCCACGCAAAAAGTCCCCAATGAAGCTAAACTTACAGTTGAAATCTCACCAGGGAAGAAAACCTGTAAATTTCCTTTGAGATGTGAAGCATAGGATATGCCTGCAGGAAACAAAGCTAAACTTCAATACAAAAATCAGAAGCCAATGAATGAATTAAGGTTAAGAAGGAGCTGTAGTGCAGAATAAATGGAATATTTTAGGGATTAACGCAAAGCATCCTCATCCGATAATCAAATGACATATAACAAAAAAAATTAAAATCAAAATTTTTGAGGATAGACGTTACAACAACAACAACAACATCAAGCCTTTGTCCTACTAAGTGGGGTCGGCTAAATGAATCCTTTAAGTCGAATTCTTGTTTAAATCTAATAAAGAAAGATCATGTCTAATATTTTCTAACCAAGTCTTTTTAGATCTACCTCTACCTTTCTTAACATAAGTCAAATCTAACACCTCTACTTTTCTAACCGGGTTCATCGGAAAGCCGCCGTTTTATGTGACCAAACCATCTAAGGCGACTCTCTCTAATCTTATCTTCCACTGGAGCAACTCCAACCTTTTCACATATATGCTCATTTCGTATCCTATCTCTAAGGGTAAAGCCACTCATCCACCTGAGCATCCTCATCTCTACAACACTTACCTTAGTATTATGCTTCTCTTTTAATGGCCAATATTAAAAGACTCAATGTCATTGACTCAATAGCTTGATCAAGAACAGACGTTGACAATAGAAAAATGCATCCTATTTCACTACTTATGACTCAATGTCGGTTAAAACAGATGTTACCAGTAGAAATGGAGCATACCTGGCACGTACAATAAAACAATGGCAAAAGCGAGAATATTTGTCTTCAATCTTCCAACAAGAACCATCTTGACCAGCAATGGCTTGGTGCAAGAAGTTGAAATGCCAATAGTTTACAAACTTGGAGAGCTCAACCACCAAAATCAATCTGCAATATGCTAAGCAAAGTTAAAAAGGCACTCATTCAAAAGAGTTTCAATTACACACCTTACTTCTAAAAAAAGAAATAATTTGAGCTAAGCTTAAACAAAAGTTTCTCTGTCAAGAAAACAGCTTAATGCGGCGAAAAACAGCTTCGCCGTCAAAAGCCGACAAGGTGGATTGTGGTGTATGACATCAGGAAAGATCCAATGTGGCTTTAGATCTCAATGCTATGATAAAAATCACAAAAGGATCCTATTTGAAACCAACATTTCGATGCTCATAAGATAAGAGCCACAGTTAACAAGACAACAAAACATAGTCACTAGTTTTATGTTACCACTTTGAAAGATAAAAGAAACCCGTAGGCTCCGTTTGGGACTACTTTTTTGGTGCTTCTTAAAGCTTCTTTAAAATACAAAAATTTTAATTCTTGAACTAAAAAGCTGCTTTAAGACTCAGCAAGAAAGCCGCCCCAAAGGAAGTTTTAATCTAATAAATGAAATTCTTTTACGCGTGCCAATTTCTCCCTCAAGTATCCAGAGACTGCTAGACCATAACGCTAGAGTGATTTGGATTAAGCTAACCTGCTATGTTGCAATCAATGAAAAGTAAGACTCACAGTTTAATCACAGCATCATGGACTATCAAGTTCCTACTTCGTTTATTTTGACAAGGAAAAGAGAAGAAATTCAAGAGCTTCGTGAATCCAAAGTCAGGACAAGCGCTATAAGGCTACCAAAAGTACTAATCATGACTTAAATATTAAGGAAAGACACCCAAAGTTAAATGGAAAGATGAAGCTTTGGCCGGTTTGCCTAACTCCAAACCAAATATCAATCATTAGACCACCAAGACATTCTTCAAATCCTTCTGCAGTCTCCTTCCTGAATAGAAATGAACCAAAAAAAGCTGGGGAAAAAAATCCTCAAATTACAACTGAACGTGGAAATAAACTAATCAAGCACAGAAACCAGAGAGAGTAATATGAAGAAGGGAAGATAACACAGAACTCACGAGGATTCTTTGTGAATGGCCGAAGCGAAGCGTCGAGAGTTGGGATTTCTACGCCCGAAGTAGAGAGAGCAAAAACTGCAGAGCGGGCGTCAACAGAAATCAGGATTTCAGCAGAATTTAGAATCGAATGGCACCCGAGAAATAAAAGAAAAAAACCTTTTTTTTCTTCTTTTTTTTTGAAAGTCGAGAACAATTCCAAACCGGCTTCCATATGCAGTCAGCATTAGTTGATCTAAAATCAAATAAAAAAATAATCATTAATGTGAGTTTGACGACGCAACTTAACAAAAATTTCTCATCTCTTAATTTTATTATAATATTTATACTATTAATTATATATAAATATCTTAGTATTTTAATATGTTAATCTTTTTTTTTTTTTTAAGATTTATTCATTGGAACATTTAAGCAAGCTCAAAAGCCAGTCTACATATATCCTTTATAGGAGAAATTATTATGTGCGGAGACTGGACACATAATGT